ATCCAGGAAATTATCTTCATTTATGAACTGCTGCCCCACTAAAGGAAGAGTTGTTTCTGATTTTCCCTCCATTGTGGCTGTGGTGGAAGATTGTACATAGTCCTTCTATACCAGCCTGCTTGCCCAGCTATGACATGAAGCAACTCACATATTTTGGAGGAGGCCATGGGACTTACTGGTTTTCATTGTGGCTGTTGCTGCTGACTGTAATGTAAGACAGGTTTTGGCATCACAGCTGCTCGGGTCCTTTAAAAATAAAGGCAGGTTTCAAAATACAGGTCATTCAGACACAGCATCATCAATGCCTTACTATTCTGAAAGGTGAATAGAAGTGATCAAGGAAATTGCACCAAGAGACAAAAGTCTGCAGTCTGGCTTTATTTCCTGGATCCCGCTGAAACAGCAACGCCCCTAAGAAATCTGTATTCAGTAGTGCAACCAGAACTACCCAACACAACAGAATATCATTAATATCCAATGGATAGATGGCTGGGGCCTTACCACTGCAACTCTACTTCTGCAAGGATCAAAGCACTCTGAAATGAATCAAATGAATAATTAATAACCACTGCCTATACCCCACCACCATGAAATTGCTCATTTAATTCTAATCAAAGTGTCAGTTTTCCAAGACCAGACTTTTTATAAACTTTACTTCAAAATCCCACTGCTCTAAAGATGTGTTTCCAATGCTATTTATAGTTTAGTTTTCATTACACCCTGAAAGAATTTGTTCTCTGCATGGCTTGTTTCACACAGGTGAATTACACAATAGTAGCAATCTGCAGGACACACGACCATAAACACAGCAGTCAGAAATGCAATAGCTGCTGAGCAACTTGACCTAACAGTACCTGTATCTTTGGACTGGAAGTACAGTAAGTCAGCAGAAGCTATGAGAAGATACACACGAGACCAGAAGGCAAGAAAACAATGTATACTTCAGAAACGGATTCTCTTCACAAATAATAGTTTTTCTCTCTTCAGACAGTCTTTCCTCTTCCTTTATGTGCGTTCCATCCATAGAGGCAAAGTTAACAAGGATTGTTCACACTTTGACCCTTTTCACCTCCTGGCACTCCCCCATGGTCCCTGTCTTTAGCACTATCCACCATCAGCCAAACAAGGCTGGATGCCACTCCCTAGAACCTGCCAAAGAAACACCAAAACTTAAGCTAGAAGAAATCAAACAAGCCAGAAACCAGAAGGTATTCCAGAGGAATTATCTAAGGGGATGCCTGGCTTATCTTAATAGCTTTGTTGGCTTAAACACAGTTAACAGAGTTTGGTAGTTCCGAGTTCTGCCTCCCCAGAGGAGGACTGTAGGGACCTTGTTCTCATATTTTCATTGGGTTTTGTTAGGTTGGTTTTTTTTTTACTTTGATCCATCTAGCTGATAGAAAATATTAGGTTAACAGAGCTAGTAGAGTTTAAGTTTTCTGAACATGTCCTTGGATTTTTTTTGTCCTGGGAATATGGTAACTTTCTATCATATCACAGGGACCATCAGTAAGAAAGCTGACCTCAGAAAGCTGAATTTTAAACTATTCTTAGTATTATCATAATCTCAACATCAGAATGAGTTCTAGCACTAATCACATAACCTCAGAGCTTCTGACCTTTAAGAATTAAATTATTTGAAAGAACATCAAAAACATGGAGAAGGCAGAAATATCTGCTTTCCCAAATGACACAATCTCCTAGTAACTTATGTGGAGGGCAGTTCACAACTGCTGCAAGAAAAAAAAGGTTAAAAACCAAACACTTTCCTGAAAAGGCCAAATATATAACCTTAAGAGTCCATAAAGATAAGCAAATTACATCAATGATGAACATGAGGAGGGAACATCAGCAGGATCAGACCAAGAACCTGGCCTGTACCAGCCAGGTGCAGGCTGGTAGAAACATTTCTGAGGGCTGCAACCTTCCACCTGCTTCTCCAGAAATCTGAGCAGCCAACAGGAGACTGCAAGTGGGAAACTGCACTGAATAGAAGCAGAGCACTTAAGACAACAATAACAGTGATAGCTTAATGACATGGTCAACACTACCAAAAACGAGAATAACTGCCTGTATTTGTTTGTATTCCACTGAAGGCACACAGTACATTATCTGGCACATTAGCCTTAGAAGCTCCCATGTACACAATGAATTATGCAGCAGTGTTTACTAAATAATTTTACTAATAAGCCATCTTAGATTTACATAATAAAATTTTGCATGGAAGGCATACAGTAAAAATGAGTCATGCATTCCAAGTGCCTGGAGCAAAGCATACCTTCTTTAGCAGGAGGCTTACAGGGAGCAGACAGCTGAGGGTTTATCAGATATGCAGAAGAATGGGGACAGAGGAACAACATCCCCGAAGGTCCTCATGCCAGTTCAGCCATCCTAGATCCAGCCTTGTGGTGGCAGCTCAGGACTGTAAATATTACAAGTGTGAGACTACCACTGAGAGTAACTAGGGGCCTGTAGATCAATTCTTTTATGTACAAGCAACCTAAATGTTACCAGGAATGAGCAAAAGCTGAGGAAAAACAAAGGAGAACTGCTGGATAATGAAGTGACAAGATATTGATTTGAGGATTCTCATCCCATTACATGGGGATCACCCAAATATTCCAAGAAGCTCATCAGCAAGATTTTTCCAGCACTGATCCCCATACTTTAGGGTCTTAATGACTTATGTATTAGTATAATAAATAACACTATAATTCATTGCAATCATATAATTACAGCAATATTACCAAATATTCTAATGCAGAAAACTGCTGCAGAACTGATTTCTATACTGTGTAACATGATATTATAATGTTACATTCTGGCATTTCACATGGTCCAATTGCAAATTGCCACCTAAAGCATCCCTTCAAATCCCTATCCACAGCTCACTTATGCTTTCCGACCTACCTTAATTTCTTTTCTATCTTCATCACATATTTTTTGCCTAACTTGGCTTGCTCTCTAGCTTGTGTTCCACCACAATGTTTTGCCTTGGCACACATGGCACTCAAATTTGGTCCTAGTGGATTAGAAACCATTCAGAAGTAATGCAGAATTGCTCAAGAATGTAATCATGAAGCTACAGAAAAATAAAGCTTCACAGGCTTTGTCTTTTCTGCTAACTAGGAAGTAATAATCTTTTAGAACTATTAGTAGAGCACAGAAACATCCTTTATTTTGAGTAATATACTGAAAAATACCATATCTACATCCTGATTGTGGAGCATGTGTGGAACCAATGGACCAGCTACAGACTGTAACAGTCACCTTTTGGCTCTGTCAGTCATGACAGCAACAGAGCCTTGCCCTGGATCACCCAAGGACCTGCAGCCTCCTTTCCAGCTTTGCTGTCAACTTCTCACACTCCTAACCAATCTCCAGAGGTAACAATCACCTTTTACTTCTGTATTCATTTAGCAGTGACATCAAATAATTGGACAGTTGTTTGGTGTGCAGCAAATTGAAATCCAAATGCATCATCAGTATTACTAACACCTATGGACTTTGATCCAGTTTTAGCTACCTTTAAAAATACGGTAATTTCATGTTTTCCCTTGAGTCTGCATAGGATTATCCATGTAAATAAGGGAGCAAATACCAGAGCCAGCCAGGAAGTTCATTAATTTTTTCCTGGATAGTTCTAAGGCTTCCTTTTATATATATATGTGTATAAGAAATGGTTACCATTTCTAGGAAATTATTCTCTTTTAAAAAGTCAGGCAACACTCCAAAGCACAATTTTTAAAAACCCAGCTTTTTCATTAAAAAAAAACCCCAAAACAACAAAAACATAAACAAACTTCTGACTACAGAAAAAGATAAAATTGGGATTCCTGCAACATCAAGTTGGATTTCTAGCTTGGGTGGCTGAATCTCCTCTCTGGATTTGAAGCTGCCACCACACGACACTTGTCATCAAGCACTGCCAAGGACTCCTGAGTGGCTGAGCCAACTATACAGGGTGCTGCCATCCAGCCACAGAAAAAAAACAAGCCAGGTGTATTTCCTATAGATTTTTTCAATGGTTTTGAAGTTTTCCATTTTAATTTTTAAATAGTAGTAATATTTTTTATAACATTTTTTAATACTGTGCTGCTCAAATATCTTTTCTCCCACCAGCCTACTGACTTCTCCCAGCTGAAGGCAAAGCAGGGAGCCCAGCAGCTCAGGCAGTGCTTGGCCAAATAAAACACCAACACTGATCATAAACGATTCAACATTTGACTAAGGGGCATAGCTGAAAAGACTGACTTTGAACTTAGCTCTGCTTAATTTAATTTGCACTCAGTACCTTTCTGTTGGTCTCTGCTAATACAGTCTACTTGCCATTTTTGTCAAGTAAATCTTCTTAGTTTTTTTTCTCTCCTCTGTCACTTGTACCCCATTCATTGGAAGAGAAATGGAGAGAAAAATGTTTCTTCATTAATCCAGAAAGTTTCTTTCAACACTCTAACTCCTCTTCCCTCTATTAGCACAGCATTCTATAAAACTTGGCCTAGATTTTTTTGTCTGGATCCCACCTTTGAAGGGAAAGATTTCCAGAGCCCATTTGTGTTGCAGGATGGGAGCAGAGACCTGCCTTGCTCCCTGTGCTCACCCTGTGCTAATCACACCGGGCAACCTGCTCTGCTGAGGTGGGTGACTCCGGGTTCCAACCTTGAGTACTTTGAAGAGAATAAATCATTGTGTGCTGCTGAGCAGTCATCCTGTGAAAGATCAGCCCCTGGGGATGTGCTCGGCAGAGTAACTCAGATACCTGGGGAAAATTTTGTAATTGTGGGGTGATGTTTTAAACAGCGATTAGTACTTAAATAATATTGTCTAAAGCATTATGTGTAACTATTTCGTATTTAGATTCCTATCTCCTCACCATAACCTCACTCTCGGCTTTCTCACAGCCTGCATGTTTACTATTCCTGTTTACCTTGGGCAACACCTGGCGTGCCCTGGTGTTAATCACACCCAGCTTCACCTCCTCCTGGAGAACGAACCCTCACCTTGCAGGGCCTTATTGTCTCCGGAAGGCAGGGGAGGCTCCCAGGGTGTTCGCTCCCCGGAGAGCCCAATCCCTGGCCGCGGGGAGGGCGGGATGCGGGGCAGCCGGGATGCGGGCAGGGAGGGATGCGGGATGCGGGGCGGGCTCCATCTGGTGGCGGCTCCAGCGGGAGCGCCGGGGGTGGGAGCGGGATGCGGGATGCGGGGCCGGGCCCGGCGGGGAGCAGCCCCGGGGTTTGTCCCGGGAGGGCGTGAAGAGCTTTTGTCCCGGGCACGGCTCGGCCGCGTTCCAGGGGAACGGTCCCGGGTAGGGGAGAAAGGTGCAGTTTCTCAAACACAGGGAAATTATCTGTCATTAAAAAAATAATAATAAAAATTAGAAACTTAAAGTGAGAACCCAACTGACTTAAATATTTAATTGTTTTTTATTTAATTAAAATACTATTTCTATAGCTAGGGTATGAGGAAAGTAGGGTGGATTTAGATTAGATATTAGGAAGAAAGTGGGCAGATTTAAATCAGAAATTAGGAAGAAATTCTTCCCTGTGAGGGTGGTGAGGCACTGGGACAGGTTTCTCAAGGAAGCTGTAGATGCCTCATCCCTGGAAGTGTTCAAGGCCGGGTTGGATGGGACTTTGAGCAACCTGGTCTAGTGGGAGGTGTCCCTGCCCATGCAGGGGGGGTTGGAACCAGATGATCCTTCAGTCCCTTCCAACCCAAATCATTCTATTTGTTACTTCAGAAACCAAATTCCAAAACGATTAAGTGAAAGACCACTCCTCTGACAAACGCTGGGCTGCTTTGACTACAGTACCACCCAAAGGCAGAAGAAGCCTGGAGCTCCAGACCCGGTGGGGCTGGAAAGCAGCTGCCACAGGCAGTGCTGACAGTAAGTGGCAGTACTGGCTGCATTAGCCATCTGCTCCTGGGCTGATAGATGGATCCTCTTACCTAGGTGGCTGAGGTTAAGAGAGAGCCAATGGCCCCACGAGGAGTGGAGCCAGAAGGGTCATGTCAGAAGGCATGTGAAGGATGTGATGCAATATAAAACCTGCTCTCTTTCTCCCTAAGGAGACCTTACTGACTACCATTTTGGGGAAGCTTCACAGTTCAGCTTTGGGATTTTTTTCCTGCCATAATTACAGGCAGCTATACTTTTAGCCCCTCCATTTAATACATAGTAGTGTTTTTTTTCCTTAAAAAAAACAACAAAACAACTCTCAGAGGATTTAATAGATTATTAGAAGTTCTTTTCATCCTTTAAGTAGTTGTTATTTTCATGGAACTCACCACAGGCAAACAAAAACATTTTTTTGCCCTTACTTCTGTGAAATTGGTGCTATTTTGTCCTTACTCTCAGTTGCTTTATCATCTATCATCTGAACTCAAATCTGGAATGACACAGCTTCTTGGTTTTCTCAGTTCTACCTGACAACTGTGACCTTGCCCAGCAAGCCCTTGTAACATCATTGCATGGATGTGAGAGCCCTAGTGTGCACCATGTCTGTAAGCTGATATAAAGCAAAGGTGGTAAAATCAGTCATTTCCCCAGTCCTCTCCCCCAAATGCAGCTGAGCACACGTGCTGCTGCCATTCCCATGCTACAAAAGAATTTGTATCTTCTGTAACCCGTATTTTATTCTGATGTCAAAATACTTGTTGAAGAGGTGTGGTGATATGTATATTGCTGTACTACAGATATATATATGTATAATATGGGGTCTTTGCCCTAAAACAAACACTGGTCCAATTACAGGGAGGGATTTGTATAAAGCTGCTAAGGATCAGGAAGCCAGCTACTCCACCGGTTAGCAGAATTTCACAGGCTTTTGACAAAGCTGCTGTTAAGGCTGCACTGCTGCAGTCCGCGAGCAGGGCCAGCAGAGAGCGAGCAGCTGCTGCTGGAACACCCGAGGTTGAGCGACAGCAGCTAGACCAGGTAGCGGGTACCGGTGCCTGGGAGAAGAGGGTTTGAAGCCCTTGTCCTCTGCAGCCAGCACCGTACAGCCCCGGGGAGGACCTGGCATGCAGAGGAGCCACTGCCCGGCTGCCTCCCCAGCACCCCAGCTGGGCTCCACCACAGGCTGTGGGGACCCGTGCAGCTCTGCCCAAGCTCCTGTCACCCTCAGCTATCCCCTGGAGAGCTATGCTGGCCCCCAACAGCGTGATGGGAGCTGGCAGCATGGCTAGCAGCCATTTGGTTTGGTGTTAGAGGAGCAGTGAACTGAAACTACTGAAAATCTGCAATATTCCCTGCATGTAAGAACACACGTTGCAGCTCTGCTTGCAGATCGAAAGAGGCAGCACAGGGCAAGACTAGGATTTTAACCATAGAATTCACATGGAAAGCACATATGAATTTGCATCCTTATTTCTGGCCATCGCTAGTTCCTTTACCACTTAACATCTTTTACAGTGAACTGATGTCTCAAGTGTTCCAGTTTCTGCTTAACAAGGGATGTTTACTTTGCAGAAAAGCCCACAAACAAATTTGGCTTGCACTAAAATGACTCAGAAGCTCCCAATTAACCTTGATGAGAGCTGAGGAGAATACTGAACTAAGTGAAGCCCATGCTGAAGCCTATGAAAGAGTCAGACAACGCCCAGATGAGCTCAAACACAAAGAAGGCAGAAGCAGAGACAGGCTATCCAGGAGTAACACAGAAACTTTGTTTGAATTTGCAGGGATGAAGCTAAGAAGGCCAGAGCTCAGCTAAGTTGGAACATGTAGAGGTCATGTTGGTCAGCAAGAAGGACTTCCATAAGCACTCTGGCAGCAAAATTAAAGTTAAGGAAGACACAGCTCTACTATGCATTGGGCAGGGAAGCTTGTAACAAAAGGCATGGCATAGGCTGAAGTGCTCAATGCTTTTCTTTCTGGCCTTTGGTTTAAATGGAAAGATCTGCCATCTGGTCTCCCATTTCCCTGATCCTATTAGTTTAGTCTGTAAGAGCATGTTAGGAAGCAAAAGGGGAGGGCTGCTCCACCAGGGAGGGTGAGACAAGGGTAAGGACAGCACAGGCAGGGATCTTACCGTTGGGGCACAGTCCCACAGCCCCTGAGCAGGAGCAATAACAGCAACAGGTCCCATCAACCATCCACTGATCATCAGGCAAAGGCAATGTAACAAGTCAGATCCAAGGTTAACTCAGGAAATCCAAATTACTCATGACTGTCAAGAAACAGGACTAGAAATAGGTCCTGCAGCTGCATCGTAGCTAAGATTCATAATCCAAGCCTGACCTTAGGAGAGCTCCTAGCCTTGTGGTCAGTAGGTGCCAGGTAGGTCAGTAGGTGGAGGTCCCAGGTGAGAGTGATCAAGGCAATTACAGGTTATTAGTGCACTCAGGGCCCCAGCAGAGTGAAGAGTTGCTCACAGTTGGGGAAGATACAGTTAAGGAGCCAATTTGATAATCCACAGGACCAGATAGGATATACCTGAACATCCTGAGGTAGTTATTGTGCAGTTCCTCTATAATCTTTGAAAGGTCATTGTAAGATGCCCAATGTTTAGAAAAAGCACATCACAGCTATCTTCAAGAAGGATAACCCAGGGAAATGCAGCTTTGTCCTAGGTCTGGGGAAGGTTATGGAGCAAATCCTCCTGGAAATCATTTCCAGCCACATGGAAGTCAAAAAGATGAGTGGGAGAAATCAGCACAGATTGTTCAAAGGCCAATCATGGCTCACTAACCTGATCTCTGATAAGATACCTCATTCTGGGGATAATGGCAGGACAATATCCTGAGCTTTGGGTCTCAAAGAACCTTCTCAAGGCATACCGTTTCCCTGGCACAACAAAAACCTGTTGAAAGACTTCATCTATGTTCTGTTTAGGTCAGCTTCCATAGAACATCCCAAACAATTTTACTTGATATATACACTCATAAACTGGATTTCCCAGTCCTGCACCATAGCTGTTTCTGTCTTACTACTTGAAAGGCTTGTGAGGTTTTATTTATTGTTTAAAGGAGAAAACTACTTCTGCCAGTTTTCATTTTACTGCCTTTATCTGATCAGAGGACAGAGAGGCTTGGGCCAGGAGGAAGGACTCTGGGAAGTGTCAGTGCTGAGACCTTGGATTTCACACAGTGAAGCATGGGATCAGGAGGGTCTTCTTTCAGTGCAATGCAACTAGTCTCAGGGAAAGCATAGTCATTTTTCAAGTAAATGTATGGATCAACCTTAAATATTTTGTCACCTGAAGATAGTAACTTGTTACAGGAAGCAGTTCAGTGGTAATCTGTTTGGAATAACAGAAGGGATAGTTCCTTTGGGGTCCACTGCTGAGCAAAGGAGTCACTCATGGGAGTGGGCCCAACTGGGACCCCATCAGCACAGAATTCCTCTTTGTTGTGCACAACTTTGCTCTAAGTCCTGGTGCTTTCTCCTGGTTTATTTCTAAATCTCACCAATGCACCACAGACCCATAACAGATGGAGATAAAAAATGCATTAAATCTGTTAGCTTGTTCTTCTAATGCTGATGAAGATCCAAAACAGAATCATAGAATGGTAGGGGTTGGAAGGGACCCCTGGAGATCATCGAGTCTAACCCCCCTGCCAGAGCAGGATCACCTAAGGCAAGTCACACAGAAATGTGTCCAAATGGATCTTGAAGGTGTCCAGAGAAGGAGACTCTACAGTAGGCTTTCAGCAGCTTTGGTAGAGCCATTTGTTCAAAGAGGAGGCAAGAAGTGCCTTTGTAATGTGTGTATCTGGGCACTGAAATCAGATGGCCACTTTGCTAAAGGAATGAGATCTTAATTCATTAAATGATACAAAAGAAATGTTGTTAATGGTTAACAGCACTGAGAAAAAACAAGTAACGTCTAGACACCCTTTTTCTTATTCATGTACTAACATTTCTCAACTCCTTAAGTCTGATGAAATATTTTTCTTCACAAGCCACATGCTTTTAAAAATGTAAATACTGTATCTGCTTATGGAATTACTTCAATGGCCTCTAAAACACAGAACACACAGGTTCCTCAGGATAGTATTTCTTTTACATTAAGGTGTTATTTCCTTCACATTCAGGTGGTAAATAGGAAAGGCAAAATACACCAAAGAGGCAAATTATTTAACTATCAAAAGGGAGAAATTACAATGAATTGAAATTAAAGTCATACATAGTTTTGTAAATGAGGAACTTTTATCAAAGTGTTTCCTGCATATAGTACTTTGCAGAACAAAAATAATGGGGCTATATCTAAAATTGACCATTTGTACACCACTTCCTGCACAGCTCACACATGACTCAAGTGATGCTCAGTACTATGACGGAACCACTGATTCCTAGACAGGCCCTTGCAACTCCTCATGCAAGAAAATTTAGCATCAAAATAT